AAAACTCTGATGCAGTAATCTTTTTTAAAAGGCGTTTTGACACAAAACATTTTAAAAATATTTTGTCCTAAGCTCTATAGAAGAAATGGATATAAACTTATTCCCAATGTAAAATATAGGAAAAACACTTAATTGTAGCTGGAAACCAACAATTGAACAAAATAATATTAAACAATAATTAGCACATTGAATATATAGAAAATTAGTTTAGTAAAGCTTTGATATTTAATGCCAGCATCAATGTAACACATCATACAGTGGTGAGGTTTAAGGTGCACCTGGTAATAAGATGCAGCAGTGAAACACAGTCCACCATATCATTAATAAGTTGGTATACGTAGAAAAAAAAAATAAAGTTTTCTGAAAATAAGTGATTTCTTCTTGAATTGAGGAGGGAAATGACAGGCTTTGTCGGTGGAATAAGACAATTTGCATTTAACATAACAAAAAAACAACAGGTGTCTTTATTTAAAATGCATAATATCTAATTATCTTATTTTAATTTCTACTTCTTATAAGCACTTAAAGCATTAGCACACACAGTGCTTTTCAGTGTTTAAGCAAACCTCTGTTAAATTAAGCCACATCTAAAGAGGTAATTACAGTCCAACAGCTACAGGGAAGATCAATATGGCAGACTGGACCGCTTCTAAGCATTTCTTAAAGGTATAGAGGATGATCTTTTATTTCCGGGTGGATCATCTCAATAAGTGGTCCTCTTAGTCGTTAATCATTCTGGTGATATGTTTACGTAATGCTGTCCGACGTCCTCGTCCCGTTAGCTATTTTTATCCACCTGCGCACTTTCAGGCGTATATCTGTGCTAATCTACGGTTTCCGACAGTCATTGAAGTTCGCTTTTCTCCCCGCAGTTCTTTGAAAATGTTCTTTGAAAAGTGTCTTAAGAGAAAAAGTGTCTATGAGGTCTATGAGAAGAAGAGAAAGGCCTCAGAAGAGGCAGATATATCCCAGAATGCCTTGCGCGGAGTGCTCTCCTTGCAAAGCATTATGGGATTTGCTGTCGCTATAGGCTGTCACTACCCGACAGCAGTGACTAATAATAAAGATGGCGCAGGCACCGTGCTTTGGACTAAAGGGCTGGTTATACTCCTGCAGCAATGTGTCGCAGTCAGCATGTCGCAGGTATCTGCATTAACTGTGACACAGACGCAGACGACCTGGTTTCAGAGCATAAACCAGCCTTAACCGGGAAGTGAATCATCCGTACAAACGATCGGTTAACTGAGCTTGCAATAAAGTCCACATATAGTCCCTGCTCTATATAATGATTGATGGATTTAAGGGTTAGGGTTGAGGTTTGGACACAGTAAGCTTGTAAGAGCGAATCAAACAGCAACTTTTAAACAGAGCATGCATGAGGAGAAATGGGCTCATGCATGCTCTCATATGCATTTACTAGGCATTCCCTCTCAGGAGAGGGCACAGGGTTGTGCATGTACATTTTTTTTTACAGTGGAGATGGCGGGTCTTTAAGAAAAAAAAAAAAAATCCTCCACAATACATTTAAGCTTTATTTTTCTTTGTCCAAAACTGATAGTCGTTTCACACAAGGTAAAATAAAAGACTATGACAGCGTCTTGTTTCTTTATCGCTTCATGTTTAGAAATAAATAAAAAATTATTTATTTCTAAAGTGAAACTCTTAACGTTTTGACAGAAATTGACATATAAAGTAGATTGTCAGCATTTTGCACAGATTTCTATCAATTAATTAGTTTCAGACAAATTCTTCTTATCATGGAATATTTTCTATCCAAGTATCAGTCATCTCCAGCTGCTGGTTATAAATAATAGTTGGTTTGTTTACTACTGTTGAGGACATGTGGAGATGCCAGAATAAGATCCTCCTCATGAGGAGGATTAAAAGGATGCTAAGTTACTCACTGCAACTCACAGTTAGGAAGCGTAAAGTGAAAAAACAACATTCAAGCACCTTATTGACGCTCCTCTGCATGTTGCTGCCAACTCTTCCCTGATTCGCTGTATATCGTTCTGCTTCCAAGATTTTGGCAGTGATGGGAGAAGACAGGAAGACATTGGCCTCGGGCTCCTTGAAACCCACCGTCTTGTAAATGGCTGTGAAGGGAAACCGATCCCCTGCAAGGAAAAACACAAACTGTTAACAAAACCTGACAGCGAATATCAAAGCTGAAGAAACGATTGAAGTAGCAAAGGTAGGTACGGGGAGTCGCCGCTTTGAACTCGCAGTCACCGACGTCGAGGTCTTTAGAGTCCAGTTGCTCCATGATGTTGCTCATGTCACTGGCTACCAGGTGCAGGGTGCTGGAGGTTGGCTCGGACTGCCGCAACATGACTAACACTTAGTCTGGAGCCCAGGGCTCACCTGGAGAGACAGGTAAAGGTAGTTTTAGGGGTAACACGAGACAATTAGTGTGACAGCCAGCAGAATACGGCTAAATGTACTGTTAGTATCACATTCACTGGGAAAACAATCTAGAAATAAGTAAGAACTTTCTTAAATTAAGTGTATTTACCCTTAATTTGAGTAGGTAAATGAGCTTGTTTGCCAATGGAATGAGTATTTCTACTCTTAAAATAAGATAATTAGATAATATACACTTAAAATAAGACAAAGCAATTGTCTTTTCTAAATTTAAGTGTAAATTGTCTTGTTTCATTGGCAAAATGTCTCTTTTACCTCCTCAATCCAAGAACCAATGCACATATTTAAAAAAAAAAAAGACTTATTTAGATTTAGATTTTTTCCAGTATTTAAAGAACCGGAGTGTGCAGGTCGGCGAATAAATTAGTTTCCCCAGTTTAACCATTAGACCAGGGTGGGCAATTCCAGTTCCTGAGGGCCAATATCCTGCAACTTATAGAGGTTCTTTTGATTCAACACACCGAGTAATTAGATCATTAAGAAGACTCTGGAGGAACTGACTGCAAACCGAGGAGTTGGACCAGAAGCACAACAAAATTTACAGGTTAGTGACCCACAGAACCTGAAAATGGACCACCCAGCATTAGAACCTATCTAGAAGCAAACCAGTTATAAAAAAAAAGTCTGTGCTGTTCTAGCATCACAAACCAAAACATTTAGAGTTTGCCTCAACTGGATCTATGTGCTTTACAGGGATTGAACTAAAATGAAATCATGAATGGGAAAGTTCCCAGTGCTAACAGTTTGTTATACTGTGGGTCTGTTTATTGTCCAAAATCCTTGAGAACTTTAACAACAAATAAAACCCCAGTATGTTTAGAAATAAACCTGGTGGCTTTCTGCCAAAAAAATGTACACAGGTGATAAATACCCACACGAGGAGTTTTATTCGATAAACTACTCTCCATGTGGATTTATAACACTATGTGCAGATTTAATACCATTAAGCCCCCCCATATATCACCACCATCATTCCATGCTCTGTCTCTGCATGGATTATTCTCTGGATTATGATGCTCCTGTAGCATCTCTCCTACACACATTTGGAACCCTTTTCTGCACAGGTACCGGTAAGTAAACTTTTGTCACTTTGAGGGTGAAACCAATGTGAGAAAGTACACTGCCTGTGATTGGCTACTTTTCAGGAAACCCCGCCTGTACTGTTTTCTTCCAAGCCGTGAATAGTTAGCAAAACATCTTCAGGCTAATGGATGTCCTGGACAAGTTTATGTCAAAAATAAATATTATAACAAAAAAATTCTGTTTTTTTTATAAGATTGTTTTTCTTTATATTTAAGTGTGAGATTATTGCAAACCAATAAATTAGTTGATCTTTTCCATATCTCTGACATGGCTGCTATGAACGGCTCTGTGCAATCCAGGATTATTTCCTGTTGCCATTATTGTTTCTAACTCCACTGCGTTTCCCAATGTTCAGGTTTCTGGGTCAGTTTTCAGTGAAAATGCCTCAGTCATCCTCTTCATTCATGAGTGAGCTCAGCTGCAAACATCCGCAGGTTATACGGCAATGTATTTAGAAATGAAACCCCTGCTTCACTACTAATCTGGAATGTCTGGATTAGTGCTGCATATGATGCAATCTGAGATGAGGAGGTAAAAGAGGAAGAGAAGGATCACAAGAGGAAGAGAGAAACTGGTCAAAAGCCCAAGATTTCCAGGGACTTTGAGGACACTGTTAGAAGCTATGCTAATCTATGCATGGGTGATTTACAGCCAGTTTTTTCCCTTTAATCTCACTTTTCTCTCACCTAGTAACGACTGATAAACCACATATGCCACTCTGTCCACATTCAGACCTGAAAATAATTTAATTTTTTTTTTTTGGTAGATAAACAGAAAGAGGAAATTCAATACAACTTCAAGCAGGTTGCTGTAAAATTCAGGGCCACTAACCCAGATTTAGATTTTTCTTTGTCCATCCAATCCTCAAATATCACAGAAGAACCCAAAACCGGCCGAATTAGACCACTGAAAGCAGAGAAAATACTGTCCACCTGTGAAAACAGCTACGCTGCCATTCAGAAATCAGAATCCTAAAGCATGATTTGTCTATAATCTAAAGCTTCAATGGTTCACTTCCCAGTAAGAGAGAGTATTGGCTTCCACAGAAAGTGAAATGGTGGTTTGCCTGCGGTCTGGCTGCTTTCACTTCCTCCTAAAATACACAGCAGGAGTCACAGCAGCAATGACCCCAGAGTTTTATCAGCAGACTTCCAAATCCTCACTCTCCTGTTAGACGCAGAGGGAGATTTAGAAGCCATGCTATGGATAAACAGTAAAAACTCACACAAGGTTTAATTTAGTAACTCTCTTTAGGGTAGTGTTTTAAAATAACAGCCACTGCTAATTGGTTAGTTTATCTAACATATTAAGATTTAGATCATTTATATAACACCTGTTTACAATATCAGCATAGTTTCTTTCAGTTTCTAAGACTGAAACTCCAATATTTCTTGGAAATCTCATAGTCTGCTGATAGAAACACGCCACTTCTGTTTAATCTGTTCTCTGTTTGAGAAACATCGTCTATCATTACACTGTGGAGTTTAGGAGAAAGCTGAGACTATTCCAAGAGAATGTTCAAATTTATTTAACATCCTCAAACAGAGAGATAGAGCCCTGACTGGGCTAAGCTCAGTACATAGATTTTTACAGCAACCCCCAATAGACACACTCTCCCTTGGAACTATCCCACCCCTACATAAAGAACTTTCTCACACTTCAATATTTGGTTATTCCTAAGAAAAAACACTTCAATTCATCAAGGACATACATTTTAGCCAGATAAACATGGCATGAAGTAGGCTGTGTATCTCTCATGACCCTTCCCTCACCCTTACCTAGGGTAGGGAGCCAACTGTCATCCCCAATCTTAACTCCATAATGGTGATCTGGTTGAACTGTAAAGGGCCTTGAGATGACATGTAGTGAATTGGCGCTATAGAAATAAACCTAATAGAATTGAACTAATACAGCTAAAAAAATAGAATACTTGAAAAAAGGGTTGGATTTTTTTTTCTATTATGTTTTTTAAAAGTATTTATTTATTGTCACTCTAGCAGGAAAGAAAAACTTGTTTCCTCTATAGATAAGGTATAGAGAGTAGAATATTTCAGGCCTTTATTTCATGTAGTTGTGGTGATTTTAATGGAAAGATGATGACAGAAACTTCAGTATCCAAGAAACATAGAATATTACATCAGATCATTAAAATTATCTTTTTAACAGGAACGTCAGCATTGTTCTGGGTCTGGGCTCCCAGTTCAATGCAGCGAAGGATCAGCCTGTGGTTCTGATGACGTCCAACAGAAGCTTTGGAGTCACCTCTGTTGTTGGTTTTGGTATCTCCTCTTCTTCTTGACTGTCCTACAGATTCTTTGCGAGGTTCTGTTCAGGCCCGTTTGCAGGTTAATCATGAACACAACACGGTCGTTAGAGCTGATTTTGACACCCTTAGTAATGAGGGTCAGTATTAAACACACTTTAAAACGTTTTTGCCAGAAACTTGCATCCCAACCCTCAGAGGAACTCTCAACTATTTTTCTGCAACATTTTGTCATGTTTTCCTCGTGATAATAAAGAACCCTGATTTTCTGATAGAAGATGACTCTAATCTGACCCTCTGAGCCCGCTGATGCTGCAGGCTGGTGACAGCATGCAGCCACCATGGTTAGTTTAATGGTGCGGAGCGATCTCTCATGGTCGTTAAAGGCTCCATTATATCAATCAATCATGTTTGGAGAAGCATAGAAGCTGGTTGGATGCATCCCTCTAATGACCACATTTTCTAATGGCTTTATGCAACCAGAGGAGGCATTTTATCACAGATAAGATCAGGCTAATGAAAAAGGCTAGAAAGATCAGAGCCTTAAATAACATGAAGCCCATTTCATCACGTTTGATGTTCAGTCTGAAGCTAATCTAGGTGAGAAAGGGCTAATGTGCTATAAAGAGAAAGTTAAGGGAGTATTTGTTTGCTGGAATATTTCTTTGTGACAGTCAGTGGGGATCATTTCCTCCAGTTTGTTTGTTTGTCATTAAATGTTGCAGCTGGCCTTCTGCTGCTCCTCTTCTCTAAAGTCACAGATTCATCTTACACCTCAAACAACCTAGTAAGACCTACTGTTTCATTTCCTGTCCCCTACTCTCCTTTTACGATGCTCATGCTATAGGGAACCGCCTACAGGTTGGGGCCCTTGGCAGCCGCAAGAACGCGCCAAAGGCGGCGTCCTGCGGCACGCATGGCCTCAGTAAACCTTTCCCCGATGAACGGTTTGTACTGAAACTGAAATCTCAATTACAATGTAAATTGTAGTTGCCAATAAAGAAATTGATTGATTGATCTCAAGAATCGACGCCAGTGACTAAAATTCTTCACAAATCATCAGAAATCTAAATAAGTCATTTCTTCTTAAAATGAGTGCATTTGTTCTTGAATTGAGGAGGTAAAATAGACATCTTGCCAATGGAACAAGACAATTAACATTTAAAATAAGAAAACACAATACATTGTCTTATTTCAACTGCTTATTATCTAAATATCTTATTTCAAGAGTAAAAATATTAATTCCATTGGCAAATTATTTCATTAACCTACACAAATTAAGGGTAAATACACTTAATTTAAGAAAGTTTTATTTAATTCTAGATCGTTTTTGCAGTGCAAGATCCTGATGAAGCAAAGGAGACATGAACACATCACCTATATCTTTAAATCTTTTCACTCCCCATGTTGAATACAAAATAGCATTACTCAGCTACTTTGACAGCATTGCTCCATATTGTTCTAAAGAACTTCTGCTTAAAAATGAGCCCAATCTGAGGCCCCGTCCACACGAAGTCAAACCCTGACCTAAACGCACAAATTTTTCACCAAACCAGCCTCTCATCCA